CGCTGTCCGGCCACACTCCCCAGAACAGCCACCAGAGCGACCAAGCAAGCAGCTTCATCCAGGCATCGATGGTGCCCTTTGTTCGGACTTTCTCGAAAGTGCAGTATGTCATGAAGAGCTTCTCTTTCGTGCTTCTTTCCATGGCCAACAAGCTGCACCAGCTAAAAACTGTCAATTTGGATGTGTAGCCCTTGCCGATTCCATGGATGGGGACGTCGTCCCCATGAAGTGCAAGCGGGATGCAACGAGTCTTATAGTCATCCCGGTCTTTGAGAGGGTGTCGCACCATCTGAGGGTGCTCTTTGACCGCCTCCCAAAAGTGTGGCACGTCGTCGGGGTTCGGCATCATAGAGTGTGCAAAAGCATTCGGAACCTCGTTATACATTGCAGAGAAGAGCTCGTGGGGAAGCAAAAAGTGCTGAGTAGCTTCGCCGATCTTCTTGAAGGGAACCTTTGCAGTGTAAGCATCTGGCAAATGAACATCGGCCTCGAGCTTTCGCATGAGGTCGCGAAAGCAATTCTGAGCTTGTGCTCCATTCGATCCTATGGCCGCCAGAGCTCGCAGATCCGGCATACACTTTCCATCGGCCATGGTTTCCATATCCGTAGCTGCGGCTGCAGCGATCTCCTGCACAGCTTGTGGCGATAACTCGCCCCATGCAAACTTCGACAGCAGGAGCTTTGAAAGCTGACTCTGTCCCGTTGCAGCTTCCACTTCTTCTTCAGCCTCTGCTTGTCTTTGTCTCAGACCACCTTTTCGCTTTTTCGCCGCCATGTGGCATAAACTTGCCAGTAACTTCTAGAGTACTCGCTTGTCAGGCCCACTATAGGTCGAGGCTTGCACGTTCAGGGTTCTGTGAAAGGCTTCAAACAAGTTATACGATGCAGGTGGAGGGTTCAGGGTAAAGGTTGGAGGGCAGAAAGGCGGGTTTTTGTAGCTTCAAACAAGTTTTATACGATGCAGGTGGAGGGTTCAGGGTAAAGGTTGGAGGGCAGCTGTGGTGCAAGGATTGGCAAACGGCCACACTCACGTAGCAAACTGAGACCTGTGCTTCCGAAGCCGGCAGAAATCCCAACGAAAATACCCTTTTGCCAATGCCCTCAGGCCATATGTGGCTGTTTACATTTGGGCTGTGATTCAGGGCCATAACCACGATTCAGGGCCATATAACCACACTTCAAAAGCTCGTTGGAAAGCAGAAGAACTTTCGGGTCAGAAAGGTTACCGGGTCGACAATGGGTCTTCGACACTGTACCCCGAGAGCTGGTTGCAACCTTGAGAGCTTTATATAGGGTCTTTAACGGTTGTGAGGTGTTTAGAGTACCTTGAGAGCAGTGCCAAAACCTTGGAGGGTATACCTTGAGAGCCCAACCAACGAGTGTACCTTGAGAGCAGTGCCAAAACCTTGGAGGGTATACCTTGAAAGCTCTGGCAAAACCTCGGAGTGTACCTTGAGAGCGATGCCAAAACCATGGAGTGTACCTTGAGCGACCTCTTGCAAACCTTCGAGTGTACCTTGTGAGAGCTGTTGCAAAACCTTGAGAGCACTGACTGTACCTACGGCCTCTGGGCTGCTTCTACTTTGAGAGCATTATATACAACCTTGAGGGCTCCATCAGAAGGCACAGCGAGTCCGCCTGCATGGTCGGCAATGTGTTGCAACCTCGAAAGGTTGCAAAAGCTTTCTGCAAACAATCCTCGCCGATTTTCAGGGGCCGCTGGTTTAGGCAGATTGTAGCTGTAACATAGTCACATCTCAGATTGGAAGTGTATGTAATTATACTGGTTGTTTTAAGAATCCTTGCCAATGAATGCAGGGTCTTTGCCGTGCTTGAGGGTTTAGGGCCGAGGTCTACGGATTTTGTTTATGTACATCCGAACTCAGTATATCTATATCCATACTGTTAGCACGGAGTTTCTAGGTTTCGTGCTAGAGGCTCCCAAAGTCCATACTGTTATGAAGGATCTTTTGTTTTGGGGGGATTAGGTAGACCGTGGTGCCATGATTGGGGGATGTCTAAAAACTCCATATACTGGTAGCACGGATGTTTAGGTTTAGGTAGACCGTGGTGCAATGATTGGGGAATGTGGGGCTTTTTGGCGCTTTTGGGAATTGTATAGGCAGTCAGAATAAACAGGATGTGTTACACCAAAAAACGGTGCTAGGGTACACAAGCTTGGAGATATTCTTACATGACACAAAAGCCTGACCTTGAGCTCATGTCGTGGCCGGGGTTCCGGCGAATTCGCCGGGGTTCCGGCGAATGTCCATACGATGGGCTTCTGTGCTCCTGCCAGTCTGCATAGCGAGAGCAAAGAATGAATGCAACAGCAGTCAAAACCGCAAACGTGACACGTGTGTGCATTCTTTTTCCTTCTCTGTGGGCTTTTGCAGTCTCGGCAACAGAGCGAACGGCAGCACGTGTGCAAAGCTCTCATCCGTTAGGATGCACACACACACACAACACCTCTCCTGCCACCACGGGTTTGGAAGTTGTGGTCTCTAGGGCCATACTGTTAGCACGGATTTTTTGGTTTGGTGCTATAGAGGCTCCACAAGTCCATACTGTTATCAAGGATC